AAAGTTGTCAGCATGTTTACAAAAATCACATATCTTTCAATTTAGGCCCTTTGATCAGACAGTGTACTCTTCATGTGCCAAACTTAATTGTATTAGATGCGACACTGGCGGCTTGTTAATTTTGCAGGTTGCAGGTTTGCAATTCCCTACATCCAGACGATGAATGGGATCAGTGAGTCAGTGACTGATCTCCACTTCCGGTTTTCAGCATGATCTCTGTTGCATGACGGCAAGTTATTTTCATGCAAGAAATTGAAATCAATTTACTGTATTTCGATTTTGAAACTCAATGTTTACGGATAAAAGGTGCAGTTTAGTTTTAAGAACATTTTGAAACGTACGTTTTGTGAAGCGTTTGTGTTTGATTTTTACATTAAATTGAAGCTTTTTAATATATTACGTATAATAACATACCTAGCATATATATGTTTGGAAATTGATCATTTTGGGGGGATTTTTCAATTTTAAAACTATTCTTAATTTGTCGTGTTACCATGACAATACTTCATGTTTGGAAAACATAATAGTTTTGTCAGCAAGGCGAGGATTTCTGCATGCATGTATTTTCTAGTATAGCTTATAATGACTGAAGTGACTATATGACCGGCAGCCAGTCACGGTTTATCAAATACTAAATGGCCGGCAGTCTAGTGACTATTGTTAAAGTTGAATTTTTATAAGATAAACCTATCCCCAACCCCAAACCCTTTTCTAACCCTAAACCCTAACCTTTTGAGAGTTAGAAAAGTCGGGAAAAAAAGTTTAAAAAATTTTAAGAAAAAACAATGCTAAGTCAGACAAAACACATCCCGACCCCAACTGCGTTTAACTTTCCGCACGCAGCGGCCTTGCCGTATGAGCTAACGGCAAGCTCGATAAAAGTTAACGCAAACAAAAGTTTTTATATTCAACTATAGTCACTAGACTGCCGGCCATTTAGTATTTGATAAACCGTGACCGGCTGCCGGTCATATAGTCACTTTGTTCTATATATACCAGTATTAAGTTATTGTTTGTGATGAAAACCGGAAGTGGAGATCAGTCACTGATCTCATTCATCGTCTGGATGTAGGGAATTGTGAACCTGCAACCTGCAACCTGCAAATTAACCAGCCGCGACACTGGAGCGACACAAGAATGGCAGTCATGATTCAAACGGCATACAAAATATGTTATTGACAATTAAGATTGCAATGCATTTGCCAGCGAAACCGAAAATTACATTTTTAAATTATTTACAAGATGGCTAATCCAATACTAGAAGAAATTTTAAAAAGTTGAGTTAGGTTTGGGACATGAGTGAGTGGTGTATGAATCAATGTCGGTCCAACGTTGCATAATGCAACAAGCTCTGCCGAACTTGTGTCAAACTTTTGTCGCTCCAATTTCTGCCATACTTAGTTGATTCATATGTTTCTCGCCTGACATACCTAATTTGTATGGCCAAGATGTATTTGTGTTTACATTCATCCTGGTTTGTATTCATCCCGGTCTGAAGATAGTTGGTTCGGCCCAGCTAGCAAGCGGGATAACTTCAGACCAGTACCTGCCTTCCAGTTATCAGCCATTTTCAGCTGCACCTGTGCACTGCCAAGACAGGTTCACTTGCATGATTGTGCACTTTGGTAATATCTGGTTATGGAAACTATAGTGAAATTAACAGAAATTGTAGACCTAAACCCCAGAAAAACAGAGATGCCTGCACAATAATTTGAAGCTGCCTGCCCAAAGTGGTAGCCAAAAATTACCTGATTTTGCCTGCAAATGTTTGCAAACTTTACAATCTCGGATAACTTACAAAAGGACTATGGCCACTCTCCTCTCGATCCCTTTTGAAAAATACTGGATTCAACTCAATGAGTGCCAGTGCTCTCCCGTTGACCAGTAACATCATGTAGCAATTATAGAACCGGACTGGCCCGGTTTGCTGGGCTACCATTTGAGTGAGGCGAGATCTTGCCTTCCCGCGGTCATATACAGTAAACACACTTAGCAGGCCAACCCGGCAAACCGGGCTGAAAATTGTGTCACAACGCATGCTTTATTCTATCTAGAAAACATCTAAAAATTCAAAACAAATAGGAAATCAACAATAATAATAATATATAAAACTTCTGAAACAGTTTCCGTCAAAATTAAAACAAATATCGCATTCCCACCAACAATTGTGTAGAAATGTCTATAGCGAAGTTTGCCGGGCTAGCCCAGGGCTCGAAACTTGAAATTTTTGTCAGTATCCAAGTGGATACCAGCATCATAGAATCTAGTATCCATCCTTGAAATCTAGTATCCCAGATTTGGATACTAGATATTCTATTTCCAGTATCTAAGCAAGGCAACATTTTACCTTGCAACCAGGCCTTCAGTTGCTGAGCAAAAACCAGGCCTTTAGTTTCAATTATAATAAAAATATGTATTGAAATTCGAAAAAATTGAAAATAACACACTGCGGCGATACGAAAGAAAGCACCGTTTGTGAAATGGTTTTTTTTTTAAATATTCTGCCAAAATCCGTAGACATTGAAGTTCGGAAACATGCCAAACGTCTAGATGATTATCTACTATCGCAATTTCTAAGTTTTCCTAGTATCCAGTTGGGATACTGAGCTTATGATACCCAGTATCCAAAATTAAAATCTGATATCCCGTGGATATCGGGATACCGCAAGTTTCGAGCCCTGTAGCCTGCCTCAATGTGAAACAAATAACAACTTGACGCGGCAAAGCGAGCTAGCCCGGCTCATGTGAACAGGCCCTTAATGGGTTAATTAGGAACTGAACAGCATATAGGGGCTGTTCATTATGATCTGGCCTGGCTCTCCAGTAGGGGCTGCAGAACTGGTGGGGACTGGATTCAGATGCCCCCCCCCTTTTCAAAATGGAAAAAAGTGCACCCTTTGTAGAGCTGCTCTCGATTAATCGATCAATCGATTATTTTTCCACAATCGATTAGGCTTAACAGCAGTTGGATAATTGGATCATCTATAACACCATATATATAACGCCATATATATAACACCACATATATAACGCCTGATGCGGGAATTATTTAATTTCTTTCCTGATTAATTTAAAAAATTGCGACAAAATTGTGATTAATTTACATGACAAACATTATTCAAAACTTTGTCCGTCAAATATAAAATTCACTCGCAGCGTGCAGAGTTTACCTTAGTCTGACCGGGTTTACCAGTTCTGCAAAAATATCTTTAAAGCGGTTTTTTATTAGAGGAATTTATTAGCATTTGCGTCCAACATTGCGGCGTGCGGATTATAAAACCTTGTTTCACGTTTTAAAACGTTAGTTTGGCCACACCAAGTGCCATATTTGAGCAATGAAATTGACATGCTTCTGTGCAACTTCCAAAAATTTAGAAATACTTACAAACCTGCACCATGGGCATGTCATATTTAAATCTATTTAATTATCAATACGATTAATCGATATTAATCGATTGTTGACAACGATTAATCGATTACGAAAATTAACCGATGGGAGCAGCTCTAACCCTTTGTGGAATGAAAGTGCCCTTTTTTCTGGTTTGAAAGTCCTCTTAACGGCTCTTTTCCAATGATAGGCAAAATCCATTGTACTTATAGTTTTTAGATTAGGTACAGTGGCGTAGCCAGCTCAACGATTTAGTCCAGCCATGCAAATTTAAACTCATTATCGTTATTCATTTCTTTAGAAATTGATTGTGTTCAAGTCAACTTGACAGTTTATGAACATGGCAATATTTGCATAGCAGGACTAAATCGTCGGGCTATCTACGCCACTGATTAGGTAAAAAATCTTAGATTTGCAGGGAATGGTGTCGCATACACACACAAAAATCTCACATCTTGTAACAAGCGGTCTGCCAACAAGCCGTCAACAAGTTGTGTTCACATTGCTTGTCTCAAGTTGTCAACAAGTCTGATAATTAATGCCATCAATCTTGTTACAAGTTGTTCCAAACTTGTTACAACAACTAGGAACAAGACTTTCCTTTTGTCTCGCTGCCTATTATGAACGAGACGTTTGGATTAGGCCAGATTGACCGTGACATCGCACGACAAATTGCCTCTCTAGAGCAAGACATTTGTCAGTTTTCTTTTACAGCGAAATATGGACGATAACATAGCGAGGCAGAACGAGATATGCAACACACATTGCTTTGCGTGCCATGGAATTGTGAGATTATTATCATAACCAGCGAAAATTGAAAGGAATTATATATTTTCTAATTTAAAGCGGGTCAACCATGTTCAAACTAATATAATGATGATTGAACAGTTGAATCTTCTAATTCTAATTCTTCCAGTCTTAGCTATGTTTGATGGGTATTGTAGATGGAAATTGTTGAGCGGGAATTTATATACATTTAGTACACCTAACCAGGAACAGAAGCGAAAAATGCAACTTTAGGTCCCTGGCAGGAATTGAACCTGCGGCCGTGCGATTCCTTGCAACTGAGCCAACTGAGCTACAGAAGCCAATTGTCGAGCTCTAACCACAAGTTCAGTACCCTAGTATATATACATGAACTTGTGGTTAGAGCTAGACAACTGGTCTCTGTAGCTTAGTTGGTTAGAAGTTAGAACGCTGCACTGGAATCGCAGGGCCGCAGGTTAATTAATTCAATTCATGCCAGGGACCTACAGTTGCATTTTTCGCTTCTGTTCCTGGTTAGGTCTAATAAATGTATATAAATTTCCACTCGACAATTTCCATCTACTATACCCGTCAAATATTATTCATTCAAGTGAGATGCCACAAAAATCTTAGCTACATGTTATAGTTCAATTGCATGCGATCCTAGTGCAGAACATGTCATTCGGATGTTCAGTCGACACTCCGAATTGGCCTATAAGGGAATCCTCACCTCACGTTTGAGATGCTTTCAAAGCCTTTGCTCCCCAGTACCTTAAGAATTCTATATCAATAGCAACTTGGCTATACTAATAATAAAGTTCAAACATGTATTTAATATAGCAGTGGTGTTTGGAAAGGACAGTAAATGGCAACGAATGGAATACCGAATTCCGAGAAATTTACAACAATTTGCGTCAAGTTATCGCGGAACACGCCAGCAGATAAACTAAAACAACTCAAGTTCTTGCTTCAAGATGTAACCTCTGAGATAGACTTTCACGATGAAAAATTGTTCTTGGATTTGATAGCGAAGCTAGAAGCCAAAGAAATTTTGAACCGTGATTCACCAGGACGAAATGAAGCCTTACTACTATGTGAGATGTTTGATGCAATTTCATTACATGGTCTTGCTAATGAAATATGTTCAGAGTTTAAAGTTGAAAAAGGTAATATATATTTTGTAATTTGTACAGGCTACACATGAGACATTTGTGCATTTCCACATACTTGCGCATTAACCCATTAATGCCCGAGACGTACTTCCCCTTAGGGGCTGTTTATATGGTCGCACTTACTCGGGATTCAATGAAGTGTAAAGTATTTTGAGCAATTGAAATAAGCCGCACTTCATGATCTAACAAAATTGCTTGTCACAAATTGTATGAAATTCCATGTTTTAGGACAAAAAACAAATGTTGTTGAATGATATTTCAGCCCTAGGGCTGAAAAACGTATTTCAATTGCTCAAAATACTTCACACTTCATTGAATCCCGGTGTCAAGCGAAATTCCTGACCTCTGCTAAATACCTGACCTAGCGTGACGGGTCAGAAATTTCGCGCGTACAGGCGCGAAATACATGACGCTTGCTAAATTCTAAGTCGGCCAAAACTGTTTTTTAGAGTTTAGATAAAATAATCATGATGTTAATTTCTAATACTTCGTTAAATATTTCAAATCGACATCGCTAAGTTTCAATCACAAACACTTTAAATTTCAAAGCGAATTGTGTGGTCGTGACCGCGAAATACACGACGTTTGCTAAATACGGTCGGTCGAAACGATTTTTAAGTCCATATGGTATGCGATGTTACCAAATGTTTCTAGCATAGACATCGCCAAATCTAAACGGCCAACTCATGAACTTCGAACTCATCGTTGCTGCTTACTAAATAGTGAGAAGGTCAAACGCGAACGATTTTTAGTGCTTATAGTATAGTAATGCATATACGGCATAACCTTTGAAACTGGAGTCTATTTTATATCACTAAGATCGCTTTTCGAGTGATTTTTCCTTATCTACGATTCAAGGTTTATTATAACGTTCACAATCAGTGGTATAGTGTCAATTCAGTTGATCAATTGTAGAATTAATGTTGGAAAATTTATGTATAAATAAAATGGCTTTATAAATACACGTGTTGTCTGTTCAGTTGCGAAATTTATGAGCCAAAGTCATTCATGCGCATCGTCTGCGCATGGGCAGTTCTACAATAGTCAGATATTTCGCAAGTCAGGAATTTCGCGTCACACCGGTAACGGATTATCCCAGAGCCTTCGATTCCTTCCCGAAGATCGCAGGCTCGGGGAACGAGATTGGGGTGAAGCGAAATTTTGGTGGGATTGAACACTTTATAAGCGGGGTTAGAGAGATTCTAGGAGGGGGGGGGGTTAACCCCTCCTAACCCCCCCCCCCCCCATTAAATCCGCACATGGCAAAGATATACTTCACGTGTTTGTTTTTGTGCATATCCAGGTGTACCTCTATATACTATATCATTACAAAACAATAGATACTCCGAAAATTGAAAGCATTTTGAAAATTTATTTCGACGTTTCAACTAAACTATAGTCATCATCAGGAAATGAATGAAAAAAAATATAGTTTAGTCGAAGCGATAAATATAGTTTAGTTTATCTATAGTTTAGTCGAAACGTCGAAATAAATTTTCAAAATGCTTTCAATTTTCGGAGTATCTATTGTTTTGTATTTTATCAAAATACTCAGTGGTTCCCGTAATATCATTACATTACTGTGAAACTTACGATGAAGGTTCGAGTTTGATTTCCTTAACTATGGCGTTGGTCATGTTGTAGGCAAGAATCTTAAAAAAGATGATGAACAAAAATTAAAACCTTAATATGCTGTAAACTGTATGGTAGCCTATTACATTTTAATTCAAGTTTCAAGGTTTAAAAAACTTTACATAACTTGTTATTCTTAGACGTTTTTCAAGTTAATATTTTTCTTGTTAATGTTCGGGCGACTTAGTAAAAATAAACTGTATTTATCGCAATTGAAACCAGATGTGTTTCTTATTTTCCTTTAGTCATACCATTCTACAGTATATGCACCCTTTGTACTTCGACAAAACGGCGGAGCTGGTTCACTTGATTTCATCAGAAATACTTCTGAGCCATGTTGTGATAAAATCGGAATTGCTGGCCGGGATTGATAGCATTGAAAAAGTTTCAAATTTTCGAACAGACTTTCTAGCAGCAGAAATCGCAGACCCAAAGTAGCAAACCTTTTCCTGAATAAGTTTATTCTTCATTTCATCGTCAACACCAAGGCCATTTATAGAATCTTTTAACTGTTTTTTCAGTTGAACTGCACTCTGATTAACGAGAATAACCATTATTGTTATACAGCTAGGGCGAACACCAAACAAGATTGGCTGATTTGTGGTCACATGGCTTTAGATAAATGCAATGTATCCCGCCGGGCAACAAGTGAAAAAAAGTTGCTTGGCCCGACCAACTACCGTACAGTATATATAAATAAACAAAATGGCGGCACAACTCGCAAGTTTATAAAATACCTGCACGTTTGTGTTAAAATTAAGATGGTAAAAGAGAAGAAAAATACATAACAGGTAATAGGATATGTTGCCGAAACCGTTTAAGTGGGTTCTTTTAATTTTAAACTCGCTTACACTATAGAGTTTTTGTCAGGGAAATACATGCAATTGTTGTATTAATATTGACATTGAGACTCTCGGAAAAACTATTTCCCTCGGGAGCAGACATTAGGGACGGACCATTAGAAAAGTTATGGGGGGAGGGGGCAAAACCAAAAGGGCTGAAATTTCATTTCAGAAAAAAATTAAGAAAAAAAAATCTTCCCAGGCATAGTGCAAAAAAAAAAAAATTCCTTGCTTAGAAGATAGGCCAAGTGGTGTAGGGGAGGGAGGGCTCAGGGGGGCTTAGCACCCCTTGTTAAAATTTCATGTTGACTTGGGGGGGGGGAGCTGAGCCCCCCTATGTTTTTGGCGCGTTGCATAATCTTAAAGTGCCAATGCAACGAAATTTTCACCTCATTTTTTATTGTTTTTCTAAAAAGTACTGCAGGAGTGATGAAGAATGACGTTTACAGTTTCGTCATATCTCATCTCATTCTCAAGTTATCGCACTTTCTATATTTCGAGTTGTGACGTCACAAGTATGAGTTGAGATAATGGCAATAACAAGAAAGTATGATATCTTGGTGAGCATTTAATAAAATGTAATGAAACTTGGTACACTTAGTGGGTGCACAAAAAAAAACACACAAAAAAAAACACACACACAAAAACACACACAAAAATATCAGTAAACGAGAATGTTCTTTAGAATTGTATCTCATTTTCAGTCATCATTTAACACAATAATGATTTTTGTAATCTTTATATTCTTATATATGTAATCTTCAATTGATTAATTTTAAGCTGCTACATTATCCATAACAAACTGCAAAGAATGAAGATATTACCCATAATTTCCTGCAATTTATCCAATATATAGTTAACTAAATAGGCTATTAGTAAAACACGGAGCACGGATCACGGAGTACGGAGCGCACGGAGCACACGGAGAACGGAGCACACGGAGCACGGAGCACACGAACTACGGAGCAGTAGAAAAACGAAAATCCTTTATAATAAAATACACTGTTTACTATTACAAATTTTTGTTCTTATTAATAAAGTTTTTTCGCATTTTACACGTTGAGGAAGTAGAAAAATGGGGCTTTTACTGCACATATGATGCAAAACTGCCAAAAGCCATAGTATTTAAAATAGGATTGTGCCTGTGAAACTCGTTATCTCATATCTATCAAGCTTATGAGTTATGTGGTTATATTATATTCCGATGGCCAACGCATTAAGAAACACTTAGAGAACAGCCGATATATTTCGTTACCCCTGCCAAAAAATAGCCAAGTACTCATCTTTCAATATAGCGGATCGACTGAACATTATCAGAAGCTTGTCATGGAGAGAAGTGAATTTTCGGTTTATCCTTCGTCCCAGTGACCAGTGAGCAGTCAATTTTTGTATTTTTACTGTAAGACATGCAGAACATGTACGAAATCCATACAGAAGTGTGTGTGTATCAGTTCTATACTTTTGAAACAACTAAATCAGACTTCGGAAAATTTGACAGTATTGAAGCTACTTTTGAGAATTTAGATTTTAGGTCTTTGTTTTACATGTACCCAGTAAATATTTTTGAGTTTTGAACTTTGATTCTCACAAGCTTACAATTTGTTTACAATTTACTCTGCCTGTGGCTCTGCCGTGCTGCACGGCAGAGTTGATCGGAATTGTAACAAATACGCGTACACTTAAATGGCTTCCTGAATTTAGTCAATCAGATGTGTAAAAATTACTCGTTTCAATTTCATGTTTATGCTCGAAACTGCTCATGTTTACAATAGCAATTCAAAATTCTTGCCCTCCCTTTCGCCTTTGAGACGTTGGTGTTGATTTATACACAAAATTCAAAACTCAAAAATATTTACTGGTCTGGGTACATGTAAAACGAAGACCTAAAATCTAAATTCCCAAAAGCAGCTTTAATACGGTCAAATTTTCCGAAGTCTGATTTAGTTGTTTCAAAAGTATAGAATACACACACACACTTCTGTATGGATTTCGTACATGTTCTACATGTCTTACAGTAAAAATACAAAAATTGTCCCACTTCCGCGGTTTGTTGTGATTTTAATACTGTAATTTGTTCTGTTTTTCTGTAGCGATTACCGATTTATCGGCAAATACCGCGATTTGAAAAATTACTTTTCTTTATTTATTTCATTCTACAGCATTTATAGTTCTACAGCTATCTTATACAGTTTTATAATATTGTGAATGATTCCGAATATTCAAAACGAATTGAAAGAATGAAAGCAGTAATGATGTACTGTATAACGGTTTAAACTTAGCCGGCCGTACAGCTCACTGCCACCGATCACTGAGCCGAAGGATAAACCGAAAATTCACTTTTCTCATCAAAGATTTAATGTTCAGTCGATCCGCTACATTGAAAGATGAGTATTCTAAGTCTTGGCTATTTTTTGGCAGGGGTAACGAAATATATCGGCTGTTCTCTACAGTAAGTGTTTCTTTATGTGTTGCCCATTGGAATATAATATAACTACATAAGCTTGATAGATGTAAGATAACGAGTTTCACAATCCCATTTTAAATGCTATGGCTTTTGGCAGTTTTGCATCATATGTGTTTTTCAGTAAAAGCCCCATTTTCCTACTTCCCCAACGTGTAATACGCGAAAAAACTTTGTTAATAATAACAAAAAATTGTAATAGTAAACAGTGTATTTTATTATAAAGGATTTTCGTTTTTCTACTGCTCCGTACTTCGTGTGCTCCGTGCTCCGTGTGCTCCGTACTCCGTGTGCTCCGTGTGCTCCATGTTTTACTAATAGCCAACTAAATACGCCTTCGCCCATTTAATACTACTAAATTGTAAATTTCGACATACTAAAACGCTGTTTTCTGACCATCAGAATTCTGTCAAATCTTCCCCAAAGTCCAGGAAATGGCATTTCAGAGACTCTAAATTTAAAAATTTCCTCGGGCCTTCGGCCCTCGCATTCAGCCCCTTTGTTTTTAATAAGAATAACGTCGAATGTTTGTCCCACAATAAACCCCAACAAAATTTAGAATTTCCAAAATATCTTATTGTACCCCTCCCGCCAATTCAGGACACTTTGGAGAGCCCCCCCTCCCCCTTGTTAACATTCCAGGACTACACCACTGATAGGCCTATAAATTTCACTTAAAAAAAATATATTTCCAACCATCAAGTGAGAAAAAAAATTCTTCTATAGGTGTACAAAAAAAAAATATTGCCTCTTAGAACCCCCATCACTTTTCTAATGGTCCGTCCCTTAAGTCAGTATATAGTTGCTGTTTTACAATTTATTACAGTGCGTCTACACTAATCAATCACATTGCAGAACAAAAATAGAAAAATCAACAAACGGCGCATTAGCCAATCAGCATTAGGCGAAAAACAATTTTAACAAATAAACGAATGTCAAACGGTGAAAATAGACTTGAAAAGTAAAGCTGTAGTTTGAATAGATTTCTAGTTTTGTTCTGCAATCTGATTGGTTAGTGTTCTCTAAGTGACTCCACTCACTGTAGACGCACTGTAATAGCTATATTTGTTAAGAATTTCTTATTCCATGCAGTTCATGTTTAACCGATGCAAAATTGCTGTAACTGTGTGATGATGAGAAAGCTAAACTTAAAAATTAACTTGCTCTCTAGCAAATTTAGTATTTAATGAATACAATGTTAGTATATAATATATTAAAACAGCTTCACTTGCCTTAGATTTAAATTGAAATGCCGCTGTTCCAAGATCGTTTCTTAGACCTAGGGACTTCGTAATCATACTCTTTATGATCTACAGTACAAAAGGTTTATGGGAGAAAAGTTCAAATGATTGTGCTAATTTTTGTAGAATCAAATGCTATGCTTTATACAA